ATTGGAAAAGACACTGAATTTGTTAAGAGGAGAATTCGAGAAGAACAGGGATTTGGGGTTCAGTTGGGGTTCAAAATATATTTTTACCCAAACTGATCACAAAATACTTACGTACTAGCCTCCTGCCGGCAGCAGCTATCAAGTTTTATTTTTAGGTCAGTACATTCACCAAAGAATTTTGCCACAGGATGGTCTAAATAACACTTCCACAACTCCACAATGATCTGCAACAAAGATTCAGCACTTGAATTAGTAACTAGAATTCTTTTAAGAGCAAAAGTTTAACACCAAAATCACATGATTAACAATGATTTCCACAAATTTAATGTCAACTTGACAGACAGTCCTTTAAAATTTCACTGGATGCAGGAAAAGTAACATCTTGTTATATCAATCCAACAATATTTCTTGTCAAATCTTATTTGGAAAAAAATGTAAAGACTTTCAACTTTTATTCGCAACTAGATGATGAACCAATAAAGATTACAACTTTCACAAGAACATGTTTCTTAAATGACCTCTGCACAAGATTGTGTCCAAAGACTCCAAACAACTACTAACCTATAGCCCAAATAAGAGAACGTAACTTTGTACTATTAAAAGCAACAACTAATGATAAGCATTTTACCGAAACCAAGCAATAAGAAAACAAGATCAGCTCACTTAAGTACACATTGGGTGCCTGTCTAGTATCAAAGGAGGATGCATCTTCCAGAAGAAAATAAAGCTGTACTATTCTGCAATAAACAAAGTTGGATACTTTAAAAATAGCAGAAAAAATCTCAAACAATATGTAATAGAGAAGTAACTAAATTTATGAATTGGCTGAGAGATACTTTTCCAAGCTTCCAAAACTTTGCCACAGAAATCGGTACAATAAGATCATGATCCCACAAAATTGGGACAAATAGAATTGAAAATATAAGAATTCTTAGGTCAAGAAACAATTAGAGGAAACAAGGAAGCCCACGAAAAAATTATATAATCCAAGAACTTCAGGCCACTCTCTTACAAAACAAAAATCAAAATTGGAAATGAAGGACTCCACTTTCATAAACCATCATGAAAATTTTGGTTTATACCAAAACCCCAATATTAAGTTGGAATGTATTAACACCAGAAGATTTTACTAAACTTGATGGCAGGACAATGTGGGGTTTTTGGGCAAATTCATAAAGGATGAAGCTCCATCAACGCCATCACTAACTAACAGCCAACAGAAAAATTACAAATAATATGAAGAAATCTGAATTCATACACAAAACATATGCATTCATATAAAGAAAGTGAAAAAATTTACAGAAACCCCACATCCAAAGAAGCTAACTTCGAGAAACAGATTAGAAGTTGAACAGGGTCACTAACCAAGAGTTTATGAAGATAGTCAACACCATCCTCATTCCGCCGCAGTTGAGGTCGTTAACCTCCTCCTACCCCTCGTCGGAGCCACAAAGTCTGAAAACAGTGACTGAAGACGGAAAGTAGCTACCCTCCTTTCAATTTGAGCTTGGTTCGGCCATCTGTTGGGTAATTTTAAAATAATATTCATTAAAAACAAAATAGAGAGTTGTTTCAGAGTGTAGATTATATCATTATATATATAGCTGTTTTATAAATTTATTTAAATATTTTTAGAAATAGCATCTGACTCCGAAAGGGTTAATTGGTAGTTTGTTAGTTTGAGATCGATTTTTTTTTTTTTTTTT